TGGGCACCTTGCCGTGTCCAAGGCCACTAGTGTGGATCCACACGGCCTGTCACACCCTGGGGAAGCTCCAAGGAGCAGACATGCCAGGACTGTCTTCTGACACCTGTCTGGCCCCATGGATGCTGTGATGGAAACCCCTGGTGACAGGGCAGCTGAGAACCAACAACTTGTCCCTTTCTTAGAGAAAGTCTCATTGTGGGACCTCAGGAAGGGGGTTCACTTCTCGTGATGGAGTCTCTCAGATCTGTCTTGTATTTTCCAGCTGCTTTTTCCCAAATGGCTCCTTGATTCAATGGGGATCGAGTGCCACCTGTTTTCACTCTCCGTGCCTCAGGACGAGGGCTTCGTGGCTGGCACAGCATGGTCCAGGCCTGCTTGGCATGCTCCAGAGTTCATAACGTCAATGTGACAGCGTGGACAGCCAGGACAGACATGGACAAGACGGACAAGCCCAGTCCCTCTGCTAAGAAGCACGTGCGTCTCCAGGAGAGGTGAGCACGAGGAGGCTGAACAGCGCCTGGGCTGGCATCCTGCTGGTGGCCAGAGGAGTGAGGCAGGTAGCCCAGCCCTCAGCGGGGACTTGCAATGCTTCCAGCTCCCTCAGAGCCCAGCACAGCTGTATCCTTTACACCTCAGGTCTGCTCCAGGGTTTGGGCTTCCCAAGGCTTCCTTCCCCCAATCCAGCCCAGCTTGCTGCAGGGCAGCTGCCAGATCCAAACACGGAGGCAACCAATTCATAAGGCAGTCTTGGCCAAATCTGGACAGCATCTTTCGGTCTCTTTCCAGGAAAATGACCAGAAGAGCAGCTATTTCCATCGATATCTCTCTAAACAACTGTCTTCTGGGTTCTCCTTCTATCCCCTCTCTTTATCCTGTCTTATTCTTTGGCTTTTGCCTGGTGTGTTGGGCAGTTCTAACTGAAGTTATGGAAGGAGGAGCTGTCTGTCTGTCATGGAGCAGCAGAACCTGGGCCCTACACCCATGTGTGGAGTCAAGCACAGGCTCAAGGTACCCCTTTGCCTTGCAGAAGGGGCTCCAACGTGTCACTGATGCTGGACATGAGCTCACTGGGGAACGTGGAACCCATCCAGCCTGTCTGCACACCACGGGACATCACGATGAAGTTCCTAAGGACATCCAGCCACATACTGAGAAAAGAGGAGCTCCAGCAACGTGCCCAGAACCTGACAGAGCTCCAGGAGGAGTTTTCGGTGAGACGCTTGCCTCCTTGCATGAGGCTGGTGCGGGATAGCACTGTCATGGGAACTCTTGCAGCGGGGTCATGGCTCAGTGCGGAGTGGACATATCACCCTGCAGGTGACAGGCCCTGTGTCAACTGTGCCCTGCAGTGCCTGTTATCAGGGAGCACTGCGGGCATGAAGGGGGTGCAGGTGCCCCAGGTATCCCCTGTTGTCCACTCCTTGGACACACAGGTCCAGGTTCAGCCTGGCCTGCCCTCCTGTGGCCAATGTGCTCTCCCAAGTTGGCATCTCTGGAAGGTGTCCTGCCACATCTTGGGTAAGGACAGGGCTTATACCAGGAGGGGACCTCTCAAGTAATGCTAGTAGGTTTCTGGGTCAGTGTCTTATTGTCTGAAGGTTGGTATATGGGACCGGGACTGGCTCTGCTGTGGCAAGGAGATGGAAGCAACTGAAATGCATTTTTCCTCATAGTTGTTTTCCCCCTTGCAGAAAATACCCCCCAATTTCATCAATCCAGAGGAGCTGGAGATCCCTGGACATGCCTCCAAGGACAGATACAAAACCATCCTCCCCAGTAAGTAACACTGCCTCCCGTAGTGTCACATGTGGAGAGGCATGTGCATGGTGTGTGTGTACACGTGTGAAAGGAGCCCTGGCACCAGAGCAGATGCTCCTGAGTGCCCCTTGGTGCCCGTTGTGTCTCATTCTGCTCTCTGTGCTCGCAGGGGTTGGATGATGCGGTGCAGGGGATATCCCAGTGCTGCTGGGGATATGCAGGGAGCTGCTCCTTGGGGACAGGGGGAGGTTTAACCCTGAGCTGTGCAGCACATTAGTGGGGGAGTGAAAAGCTGAGGACATTGTGGGAAGGCTTCTCAGGCACTTTGGGAAGGCTCCAGGGGGTTGTTGCCTGGCAGTTGAGTTACCCCACATGCTCATTGCAGTGCGGGCAGGTTAGGGCAGGGATGGCTGTATGCCACTGTGGGAACCAGGGTGAAGTGGGGCAAGAAGGGGGCTAAAAGAGTGTCCCAAGGAAGGTTCAGGTTTCTCCAAGCATGGTGTGGAGCAAGGAGGACTTGGTCTCCAGGCTCTGGAGCTGAGTCAGAGAGGCCGGCCAGCCACATGCTCAGGGAGGTAGTCCCATAGTTAATTCTTGTCATGTCTTTTAGATCCCGAGAGTCGGGTCTGTTTGAGGAGGGCAAGGAACAAGGAGGAAGACAGCTACATAAATGCCAACTACATCACGGTGAGTACTCTGGCTGTTTGGGGGCCAAGAGCCACCCCATGTCCCACAGTCCTTGTCAGTAAAGTCATTTCAAGGAATAAGGATTGGTTTAGTAGTTAGCCCAGCCTAACATATGTAGAGGAAGAAGAGCACCATGAGGGCTGGGTTGGCTCAGGGACAGGCTCTCATCGCACGTCAGGTTCTCCTCATCATCACTGACACCAGCCGTGTGCTTGGCAGGGCTACGCCGGGCGCAGCCGGGAGTACATTGCCACGCAGGGGCCCATGCTGAACACTGTGACTGATTTCTGGGAGATGGTGTGGCAGGAGGAGACACCACTCATCATCATGATAACCAAGCTCCAGGAACGCAAAGAGGTACCGTTGCCCCTTCCCTACAATGGACACAGAATCCCAGCTTGGAATAGGACGGAATGGGTGCTGTAGGATAGAGAGAATAACAACAATTACAGGGTTATATAAGAGCAAACACGACTGCTGAACAAGTGGCCTGAGCACCTGCTTGTTTGCTCTCCTCTGCTCTCAGAGGGTGTCTCCTGACCCATCGAACAAGTAGGAGATGAGACCCATAGCTGCACTCCTGCACCATCCAGCAAAGCCTCTCCTTATCAGGTGGCCTCTTCCCATGCTGGGCATGCTTTGCTAGGCAGATAACAGGAAAAGGAGAATTAGGGCATCCCCTGGGAGAGCTAGCAGTGAGCAGCATCCCTCTGGCACTGAGCAGTTCCCGTCCAGATCTGGGAGCTCTCAGATGGAGGATCCAGGCTGGGATGGGAGCAGGCGGTGTCGTGCCCCTGAGTGGCGTCCTGATCGCACAGCCCTTTGCTGCAGTTGCCTCTCTATGTGTTGGCTGGGTCCTCAGCTCCTTGTCCCTTTCCCAAGGGCATCAGCCCTTGGGCATCCCAAGGACCCTGGGACCTGCAAGCCATATGGGAAGGCAGGGAGAATGTACAGAAGGATCCGATGGTTAAGAGGGGGGCTCTGTCTCTTCATGATGCTCCTTTCCGTGTCAACCTGCATCCGCCTTCCCCAGTTCCCTCCACCCAAAGTGATGCCTTTTCCAGAGAGCTACCAAAAATGTAGATCAGACACCCAGTGGGTGCCCTGGACATTTCCACAGTCACAGCCCCTTCCTTCTGCCTTCAGAAATGCGTCCACTACTGGCCTGAGAAGGAGGGTACTTACGGCCCCTTCACCATCCGTGTGCAGGGGGTTAGCGAGTGTGTGGAGTACGTGATCCGGGACCTCTCCATCCAGGTGGGTTCAAGCACTTGATGGGGCAAGATGGGGTGTCCAGCAGAACCTGGCAGTGCTCAGAACATCTTGGGCTCTGTAGCAAGGTGGCAGCACTGTGTGCAAGGGCTGTGGAGGGTCTGTGTCTTGGAGAACTGGGTCTCATGCAGTCCCTGCCAGAGGAAGGGTCTGTAGAACTCCTTTCTGCCTGGCAGAGATTGAAGGAGAGCAGGAGGCAAGAAGGTCCCAACATTGGGCGAAACAGGAGAGACAGTCAGAGTAGCAGGAGCTTCCAAACTAGTCTGTTGCTGCTTGCACTGTGCCGGTGAGCTTTGGCCTACCAGCTCTCTCAGTCACCATGGGCTGACACTAGCCAACATGGTGTTGCTGATTGCCTGAACTGCGCAGTTGATGCTGGGACATGTTGCCTTCTGTCCTGCCTTTCTGAGCAGAGACATGGTCAGGGAACACTGTAGTTCTCACATGGGGTCCAAGCAGGGTGTGTGGGGCATGGCTGGGCCTCAACCCAGCAAGGAGCTCTGAACTGGCCCAGGAGTGTCCCTGGCCCTCGAAACTCTCTTGAGTCTCTGGCAGGAACAAGAAAAGCGGATAAGTTGGGCACAAGTTATGCACCCCATAACTGAGCTGGACTCCACACCTTTGCTGGCCCAGTCCTGTGTATCTGTGCTCCCGCATCCTGATTTCTCTCTCTCCCGTCCTGGAGAAGCTTGAAGGTGAACGCCGCCAGGTCAAACACATCTTCTTCCCTTCCTGGCCGGACCAGCAGACACCTGAGTCAGCCAAGCCACTGCTGCACTTGGTGTCCAAGGTAGAGGAGACTCTGAAGGCTGCAGCCAACAAGGGGCCCATTATCGTGCACTGCAGGTAGGAGCTTTCCCCTTGCTTTAGCCCCTGCATGTCCTTAACATTTTTGGGTCATCCTGAAAATGTCAACTGTGAAATTCACACACGCACTTGTGATATGTCCCCACCATGATACAGAAATTCCAAGGTGCGACACCCCCATTGCACAGGTATCCTGTGCTGTCATGAAAATAGACATATTAGCATGGTGCAGAGCTACCACTGTCCCATAAGGAAGCCTGATATCCACCTGACACTGTGAACATCTGTCAGAATTGCAGCTCTGGAGTTTCCAGGGCTTTATAGAGGTCTGAGTCAGCACATCCATGGCTCAGGCTTCTGCTTCCCCTACGGTGCGCAGTTTGTGGCTCAGCTGAAGCTGTTTTCAAGAGATTCCTCCTGGAGGAAGTAACCTCTGTGTATCTTCCAAACCATCTTGCTGGTCCTCATTATTGCTGAATGGTTTTGGGGCCAGCCAGACCAGGGCTGTGTGGCACATTCCTCTTGCCATGCCACGGAGGCAGAGAGCATGACGTTGCAGGTCTTCTCACCTCAAAACATGCTGGTTTTCCTCAGGGATGAGACCATGGCTAGGAAAGGAGGGGAGAAGACTGCCATGACCTCTGCACTGTTCAGAGATGGAGGGCACAGGAGAGCCACATGCTTCCAGGGCACAGCTCAGCGGAGCTGTTCAATGTGGCATGACCTCCTTGGTATGGCAAAATGGGGCCAACCAAATTTCTTAGTGCTTGGCTAAGAAAGATGGTCTGACAGCTTGGCACAGGACTCCACCATCCCTTTAAGAAGAAACTGTGACAATAATTATGGCAGAAATTATTTCAGCTAATCAGTTGGCCAGCTTGGAGCAGGGTCTGGACAGTGCATTTTCTTGCTGTGCTCAGGTTACCTGTGTCTGACCTGGCTCTTGTTCCACAGTGCAGGAATTGGACGGACGGGCTGCTTTATTGCTACCAGGATTGGCTGCCAGCAGTTGAAGGACACGGGAGAGGTGGATATCCTGGGAATTGTGTGCCGTCTCCGCATAGATAGGTAGGTACTCACAGCAGTGTCAGGCCTGCTCTTTGAATGGTTGTCCTGGGTGCAAAACCTGGAAGGACAGACGTGGGAAGGGTGAGGGAGCTGAATCGTTAAAGTTGGAAGGGACCTCCAGAGATCATCTAGTCCAACCCCCTGCACACGCAGGGTCACCTAGAGCACATGGCACAGGACTGCATCCAAGTGGGTTTTGAAGATCTCCAGAGAAGGAGACTCCACAACCTCTCTGGGCAGCCTGTTCCAGTGCTCTGTCACCCTCACTGTCAAGAATTTTTTCCTTAAGTTCCTTTAGAACTTTTGGCCCTTCAGTGTGTGGCCATTTCCTCTAGCCCTATTGCTAGACACCACTGAAGAGAGGCCAGCGCCATCCTCCTCACTGCCTCCCTTGAGGTACTTCTAGACACTGCTCAGGTCCCCTCTCAGCCTTCTCTTCTCCAGCTGAACAGGCCCAGCTCCCTCAGCCTCTCCTCATAGGGCAGATGTTCCAGGCCCCTGAATTGCCCTCAAAGTGAAGAAGGCCAACCCCATACTGGGCTGCATTTGCAAGTGCGTAGTCTGCAGCTCCAGGGAAGGGATTATTCCCCTCTTTTTGGTGCTTTGAGGCTGTATCTGGAGCACAGTATCAATTTTTTGGGCCCTTCAACTGGAGAAAGAGCGAGTTGAGGGGAGGGCCACCAAAAGCATCAGGGGGCTGGCGCTCCAGAGCTCTGTTTGCTCAGCCTGGAGAAGAGCAGGCTCAGGGAG